AGTCGCCGAACGCGCATAATTTGATGGGATTTGGTTAAGTCATTCATTCTCTGGGCGGCGATGTGCTGGGGGGCGTGGCATGTCAAGGTGTCGCCGTGACGCGCGTGTCCAAAAAAACAAAAAAAAAAAAAAAAAAGGCGCGAAGATTTCTTGTCTGAATGAAGTCATGCCCAAAATCGTGGAGAAACCAAAGCCCTCAAGGGTTCTCGTCCGTTTTTTTGTTTTTTGGTTTATGTTTTTTGGGGGCTGTTAATCATTTGTTTTCCCTTATATTGATGTGCAGTGTGGTTATAGATATCGGATCCCATTAGCTAACATCCGTGGATGTTTCAATTTGCACAAAGCCAAACACAAATCCAAATCCAAATCCAAATCCATAATGGCAGGCAGGCACGCGTTTCCGCCGCTGGTCAAGAACATATTGCGTCCATTAAATCGCAGAACAAGACGCCGAAAATAGCCGAAGTGGGGATCTGGCCAAGTTGATGACGCCTTCGATGGCGCCGCCAATAAGTGCGGTAGCTTCCAAAAAAAACAAAAAAAAGCTGGCCAAGCACAACTTAAGTATACTGCGGAAAATGCCACCATAACGCTATTGCTAGAAGAAATAAACCGTTTGACCATTAAAACTGGTAAAATCGTGTCTTAGTTGTTAGCACATCGTCGATTGAAGTTTGTTTAGAATATATTGCATTTATTTACTTTGCAACATGCCACTTTAATCTAGTCAAAATGGAAGAACTCACAATTACTCGGTTATAACTAGCATTTCAATGGAATTTAAAAACTCAATAAAAACTACAGTTGTACTACACTATTGGCCAAATTATAATAATTATGCTGTTCATTAATATTGGCCGAAGGTCTCTTGGTTTTTGCTATGGCAACTTTTTGTTGTTCATCGAAATACACGTACTTAGTTATGAGCGGCTAAATGAAACCGAACTTAAATTGGGGTAAGGCCTAAAAAAGCGCTCTGGGAAATGAGCAAGCTGCGCATTTCGTTGGACCAACCTAGTTCCACATTCGATTGGGTCATCGTTCATGGCTCGTTAATTTGGCCAACCGTATGGGAAATTGATACAGGAAATGCAGCCCCGATGGGCCTAGTGCTAACTGATAACTCTGCCCAAAATTCGTGTGTTGTTCGCAGCTGTGCGGCTCAGATTAATTGTGGGTCAACACAAATGCAGATACACATACATGTATCTCGCGGATCTACATATATGGTTCCGTATCTGTGTGTGTTGGTGTGTGGGTGTGTGTGTGTGTGGCTACTGGAGCGTTAAATTGCCGCGGTAGCCCGCTTAATCGCCTGCCCAGCTAACCATCGAACCAAACCATAGACCCACCATCGATACATTTGCCCAATTGCACGGAGAAAAATGAAAGCTAAGCTGGGTTGGGTAACTTAACGTGGGGCATTCGTAAATAGGTTAAATTGAAAGCTTAAAAATTTTGTACAAATTTTTCCAAGCTTATTATTTATAATAATAATAATAATTTTTTTTTTAAATTTTATTTGTGAATATATTTTATCTCAGTGCAACTCTAAGCTCCACATCCCCTTTAACCATCAACGTAACCCAAGTAGCACAAATTGGCCCGCGGCTTTGCAGCTTATCGCGTTTTGTATTTGGATTTTGACGTTGCTTTTGTTGTTGTTGTTGGGAAAGCGGCCCAGCGGTTTCATTTCCATTTCCCCCACTGGCAAACCATTTCCATTATGAGAATTGATGGCAAGGTCAAGCGGTTGGATCAGCGATCGGAAATTTGTCTCTGGCAAATGCGCATGCGCAGCTTCAGGCCTGAATTCATGTCTACAGTCATCGCTCGCTAGCCTCAACTGAAACAAGTCAAGCATTTAAGAGAACATATTTTCTGTAGTAAGAAGACCCAGCACATTCTTTGATATATCATTGAGGCACTATGATACTTTAGTAAAATATAATATGTCTTATTGAAGTTGTTATTGATAATTGATCATTGATAAGCCGAACGATAAATATTGCTTGCCGGTTAATGAAGGCAATCCAATTAATTTCGAGCTATTTGCGATATGTCCTTTAGCGGCGTATGCGAAAGAATGTCTAAAGATAACAGTGTGTTTCTTGTAATCGCAGTCAATTAATCGATTATAACCCATTGGCCAAGGGTTATATAATATATGTATATATATGTCTATGGTTCCTAATAAGGTCGTTGTCATGAGGGCTAAAAATCCTGAAACAAATAAATATTTCCTTGGCCCTAATACCATGCCAAAGTCAAAACACTTCCATGATTTTTGGTTCGATGGTCCGGTTGGCTAAAAGTCCGTTTCCAAGTTCCTATATCTTTCTATTTGTTCGAGTGCGTGGAACATTTATGGGAACTGACTTGGCGGTAATAAAAATGTTAACACGCCTTTGCCCCAAAAGAGAGTGAGAGGAGAGGGGGACAAGGAGTTGCCGAGGGGGATGACCATATTTAAACATAATTTCGTTTTTCATTATCCTTTCATGACAAAGACGAAGCCGCGCCATAAACAAATACACGCATATGTATACGACCAGAAGAATCTGAAGAACAGGCGAAGAAGGCTTGGAGACAATGGCGTTTAATAGCGGTCGCTAAGTGGAAGGCAACTGAAGAAGGGTCCACACCGAAAGAAAATATCTAATGTCTTACAATGCGGTATATTGTTGCCAAATATGCACCAATTCTTCTTGTCAAATTATTTACTGTATGTGTTCCGCCGATGTTTTGCACTCAATCTAAAGTTAACATTGGCTCTTAATTGGGATGTTTTGTTCAGTGTATAATAAGGGAGTAGGCCAAGGAGGAGGGACAAGGACCAGGGGAAAAGGTGAGCGATGGCCGGTGAAGAGGGAAATGCCGGAATGGGTAAACAAAACAACTGGCTGGCAGGTAAATTACAAACAGCAACAGATGAAGAGGAACGAAAGCCACGAGACACTGAGAAAAAAAGGTGTTTATACAGTGTATGCAGTGGCGGTGTAAAGAAATTAATTATTGCTCTAAAGTTGATTGACTAGGTGCTTACACATAATAAAAAAGCTTTTGCTTATGTAAAAAGATTTCCCATTCATATCTTCCAGTGTATTCTACTGAGCTGCGAGCGAGCAGGACTGCAGTCTTCTCCTTCATAATTTAGTGTTGTTATTGTCTGGCTTTGGATTTGAATTTGAAAGAATTATGAGAGAGTGAGGGGAGAGGGGCAGAGTGCAGTGGAGTGAGCGAGAGCGACTGACATGGCCACACACGGCGAATGATGCCAGGTGGAGAAGAAATGGGGAGCGATAGAAAGGGATGGGAAACGATTGTGAGCGTGAGCCCATATTTTGACATATTTTTGTTGCAGTACAGTGGACCCTAGATAAATCATCATAATGCACGCAATGCCAGAGGTTGCAAATATTTATTAACTTTCCAAACACCACGATCGTCGATGCTTAATAAAAATTGTTATTGAGGAAACACTGTTTTCTAAATTACAAATTCTAAAGTCTTCTTTAACAAGTGCTACTTAAGTTCAGTCTGCAGTCAACATTCGAAAAGGTTGTATTACGAAATATTTGATAAGATATCGAAAATGCCGCATGATCGATGATATACATACACAAGTCAGTCCTATCGCATTGTTATCACTCTGGCCTATAAAAAAGGGCTGTAAATTGTAACAATGCCGCCACAAACTAAAATGAAAACGGCACTCTCATCCGCCCACAGAAGCGAAAATGTAAAACCAAAGACATTAAAATAATAAGATGCGTAAAGGCAATACATTGGTTTTGCACTATGCAGCCACTTTTTGGTGGCGGCAATAATGGCTCTCTCCCCGCTCGCGTAAAATTGAGAGCATCAAAATGTAAAAACAGAATTCAGTTGCTCCTTTGATGTAATTAAACAATTATCATGTTCAGGCAATGCCAAATTAGTGCATTTTTCTTGGTGGCAATCGAGTACAAATAATATACATAGATTAAAAATCAATAAACTTGTGAAGTGAAGTGGATATTTTGTCAAATTTATACATATGAGCATACGTGTGCACACATACAGTGATCGGCTGTCGCTGTATGCGTACAAGAGAGCTGCCCGCTCTAGAGCGCTCTCTCTCTCTCTCGCTCTTGGCAAAAATTCGAGAGAGCCGAGAGAGAACAGTTCATCGGCAAAGCGTAACACAATAAACCATTCTGCGTGCCTTGCGCTTATTGCTTTTTTGTAGTTCTTTTCAGTTTTTCGCTGGTTGTAGTTGCATTCGTAATTTTTTTCCTTTTTTTTTGGTGCTGTGCTTTTTGGTGGTGTGCGCATAAAATTTGCATAAATTACACGCGTCGACACTGACAAGTAAATTTACTTTGAAGGCAGACAACCCCCCGGCACCCAACCCCCGCTCAAAAGCAACCGCCGCCACTGCCATTGCTTTATTTTTGTCACATTCAGCAGCAGTTAGTCGAGTAGTCGAGTGCTGCTTTAGGCCATTATGTTAATGAGTTTTAATTGAAGAGTCCGCAATATGAGCATATTATTTATGGCGGGTTTTATTATTATTTTTTTCTGAAAAATTTCCATTTCATTTTCGGCCTCATGTGGGCGCCAGCAGGGGGTGGTCTTTGGATGGTAGGGGGTTTGGCTGGGTTGGCAAGATATTTATGTGATCAGCAACTTGTTGTCTGGGTTTTAAATTTCCATATTAAATATTCCGTAATGGCTTGCACGTTGCATGTTGATTTTAAGTCGCACTTAATTAAATTGATTATGTGGGTGGAAATCGCATCTCATTTTCCGGCCTTGAATGGCGTTTGTAAGGCACTCGTTTTTATTCCACCATAGGGAACCATTTCCCCAAGGACCCCTATTGTGTAATAGTTTAAGTTTTAAGGCAATTATCGTGGGACTAAGACTAATTATAAGATTTTATGTCGAATTACCGTGTAATAAGCGAACGTTTTATGTTAGAAATAAACTACTTCAACTGAAACCCAAATAACTATTACACACTCATTAGCTTGGAATCATATGGAATATACTTCATGATTCACTGGCAAATAATCATTAACAGAAAGTTAACGAAAGTAGTTGGCGAATGCCCTTCGCAATTTACCCAAAACGCCAAGTCCACCGGCCGAACCCGAACTTCGCTCCCTTGAAGGAGTGGGATTCATGGATGGATCGTCCTCCAGGCGACCCACATGCCAGCGGATCTGCATGTTGCCCACCACCAGACGCTTGGCCATTAGAACGCCCAGCTGCAGATGCTCCGCGGATGCGAATATCAGCTCGAGACCATTCTTCCTTTTGCGATAGGAGCTCATCGAGCAGAAGCGCGAGAAAATGGCCAGTACTTGATCATCGGTGCCAGATGGATATCCGTGCAGGCTCAGCCACACGTTGCTCCGCAGATCTTCCGAGGAATCCCTGACCCTGGCCTGCTCCACATCCGGTTCCTGTTCCGGCTGCAGTTCCGGTTCCTCATCGCTCTCACTTTCAGTTTGACTCTGGGAACTTTCCTCGGCCATGATTCGATTGGGTATACTAACTTCTATTGATGATTGACTTCTCTGCGAGATCTGCGTTACTTTATCAAAACGAAACGTATTTTCATTTTTAGCCTGACAGATATCGTCAAGATATAATATATTTTGAAACCTCTTATCGGAAAAAAAAAATAAGAGAAATCCAAAAAGTTATCAAGAGGAAGTGAGAGGGTAATGGTAAGAACGAGAAAGGTGAAGGTTCCTGTGAGCGTTGGCAGCTGTTCAAACAAAAAAACAACCTCAACCAAATAAGAACCACTGGCAAATATTTGTTACTCAGATAGTTTTACCGATAATATGCCACGAGATAAAATATGCAGAACGTATAATTTAAATATTCATTCAATAACATAGCACGTATTGATATTTCATTCCAAAAGTAATTGCCCTATGTAGTATTATTACTAGATGTCTGTGTATATTTGGGTGCACGTTCAATCTGGTAAATCGAATATGGAATTGGGCTAGGGCAACATATGTTGCGTAGATAGCTACAGTTTATATAGCATCCCAGATACGTCCGACTATCCCATGTTTTCTATATTGTAAGTGGGTCAAACATTTGGGGGCCATGCGGCTGAACATTTTCCATTTTCCGATAGTCACTATCAGTGGGTGAATTACGACGAACGAATATATAATTCCACTGGATCTGGAGTAATCATAATTTCTATGCCATTGCGATTGAACTCTAATCCGTATCGCCTCATTTTATGGACGGAATACTCAAGTATACTTAATACAATGGGCCTTCGGAATTCTTGTTTATTTTCGAGGGCTCTTTCGTTTATTATTGCTGCGATCATTGGAAATTCATCGCATCCGGAGGAGGCAATCAATTTTGAATTCGTTTCGATTTGGATGGTTTTTCAGTTGGTTTAGAAAAACCTTCGATGTTGCTGCTCCTCACAAGTTGCCCTTCATTCGAGAGCAGCCAAAACCAGTGATTTAATGCCGAATTGTGGGTGGTACATTTTAGTAAATTATAAATACAGTCAACGAACTTCTATTGAGCACTGTTTGAAACTTAAGCGAACAAAAAAGTTGCATTCATGTGTACTTAGCTTGAGGAATTTTGTTTTTTTCAGAGCTCTGAAAAGCTATAAAAATGTCAGCGTGGGTCTCGCATTTGAACTGCGATAAGCTTTGAATCTGAAATCAAAGCGAATTCTTACAAATTCGCCAGCCTAGGAAGTCACTACAAAATTCCGACAGACCCACAAGCAGTCATAAAAATTTGCAAGTTCATTAGGTCCGTTGACTTTTATGGGTGACTGTGCGATCGCTTGGCTAATCTGAGAATCGCCCACAGGGATATTGAAATACTGGAATGCGCGAAAACAGCCGTTCGCGCCCTCAGATATTCAAATATCTCTGTTACTTTTGCACGCCCCATGTGCAGCTCCTGGCATCTCCCTTGCTCTTCTCTCATTCTCCCTCTCTCTCTCCCTCGCACATTGCCACGTATCCGGATATACATACATTACATATGTATTTCTGTTGACTCCGCGAATTTGGGGCGCAAAAACTGCATTAATAACTTACAGGGATCACGAGAAATGGCTAAGAATCAGCAGTGAGAAATAATAGTATCTGGAAAGTTGGATTTTTCAGTTCTGAATTGGTGTAAAATTTGAATCGAAAGTGGGTTTTCATAGGCTAGCTTTAGGGATACTCTCGAGAAACATAAATAATTGACATATTTAGAGGAATTTACAAGAAAGTTTAAGAAAAAAAAGCGTATTTTATAATATAAGATTAGTTCTTAGTTTTCTGTTTAAAACGTAAATAATGCACATATTTGGAGGAATTTACAACAAACTTGTATGCATTCCCAGGAAATTTTGAAAAAACTCCTTTTTTATAATATAAGATTAGTTCTTAAAGTGTTCTATGTTTGAAACGTAAATAATGTACAAATTTAGAGGAATTTACAACAAACTTGGTGGCATTCCTAGGAAATAATAATATAAGATTAGTTCTTAAAGTGTGAAACGTGAATAATATACATATTTATAGGAATTTACAACAAACTTTGAGAAAAAAATCGCATTTTATAATAAATAAATATAAACTAATCTTAGTTCTTAAAGTGTTCTAAGTTTGAAACGTAAATAATGCACACATTTAGAGGAATTTGCAACAAGCTTGGTTGCATATGTATGCATTCCTAGGAAATTGAGAAAAAAAGCGTACTTAATTCTATAAGAGTAGTTCTTAAAGTGTTCAACGTTTGTTGCAATAAATTTTTGTCACTGTTGCTGGCGCGGAATCTGATCTCCTTGCATGCTCAATTAACTTTGTGTATTCTCTGGCCGCAGAACTTCCAGAGAACTCGAGCACGGTGGTGCAGAATGGCTTTGCTGTGACTTGGTGGCTCAGTGGTGCAGTGGTGCAGGCTTTTGCTACGGTGGGTGCCTGGCAAATTTATCGCTCTGCCAGGGCTGTCAGCCTGATGAGCGTGGACATGGCAGGCGAACAGCCAGAACGCTGGCTGCTAATCCACTGCACCACCCGCTGCAGCAGCCCCCCACCCCCCTGGGGGAAGCACCCCCTCAGCCGCCAGCCACCCAGCTGGTCAGCCAACTAAAAGCGCTCAAACGCAACTACAACTGCTTTGCTGTCCAAGTGAATGCTCGTTAAATGTGCTCAAATTTGAATTTCAAATGCGTTTGGCGGCTGCTGCCGTTGTTAACATTTTGCAGAAGTTGAACACTGCGAACAAATAGGCTATGCTTTTAAAAGTATTTCTACAACTGCAACATGCATTCATGTTCATTCGAAATGATTCTAGGCTATGAGCAACTATTTTGGACTTGAATATTTTTCGCGTGCAGTTGCAGTTGCAATTTCTGTTGCAGTTGCAATTTATTTATGTGTGTTGCAGTTGGATTTGCAGTAGTTGCTGCCGTGTGGCTGCCTCATCTGCCAGTTGTCAGCGGAAGTGTTGATGAATTTATTTGTCAAAATCGCATTAGGCAGCTGACTTAATGAAACCACCGAAACCACCAAAAGCACCACCACCCGCACTCGAAAAATATATGTCGTCAAATGTCCACGTTTCTGTCAGATTTTCTTTGTTTCCTTGTGCCCCCTGTGCGTATTTTGTGTGGTCCTGATTGACATTTAAATGCAAACTGTCAGTGGAGTCTGGTATTCATTCTGACATTCGTTTTCGGGTTGCTTTCCGTGCACCGCATTGTTGTTGAGCTCACAATGAGATATTCCAACATGTTGTGGCTTAATTAATCACAGCTGCAGCTAATGGGTTAAGCAGTACATACCTGGAAAAAAGAGGGAAAAAGGTTCAATTAATATTTCGCTTTGGCATGTAGAACTATACAGTGAATGCAAATCTTAACCCATTCGCAGCCCCATCTGCGCATTTTCCAGCTAATTTAAAATCAAATTGAAATGGTTTGCCGTCGCTTTTTTAGGAAAGTCAGAAACCTGAGAGTGTTGACTACTTGGTCGCATCGCAGCTCGTTGCAGAAGTTGCATGCCACTGATGCACGCCCCGCGATTTGCCAGTTTTGGCTTTATTTTTCCAGAGCGGCAATAAAATGGCCGTTTAGCTTGAGCTTGGCACCCACGCTTTTGATTTTGCCATTGCATCTGGTGCCCACGCAGTCGATTAGGGCGTATAAGCAATATTTATTTATAGCATTTTTATATTTGCAGCGTAACGCCCACTAGAAAACGCCGCCTGTCAATTAGCAGCGGATAAAACAGAAAAACCCTTTGCAGATCTGTGGTGGAAACCACTGCAGCTCCCTGGGGATGGCTTACACATATCGCTGACAGCCCTTATCATGCAAATTGTGTGTGGCTGACTCATGGACATACAAGTAAATATGCATAATTGCCATTAACAGTTGCCTGCTATTCCTGGAAAAGAACCCGCTTTGATTAATTATTATATTCATTTTTATTTCCGTTTGTTATTATTTTTTTAATGATATATCGCGATAAAGATTGTGCAGAAAAATAGGGGAGTAATACAATATTCATTGGGTTTTTATTGGGTAATATTCGAACAGATTTGCTCCTTTTTTGGAACCAGCTATAGTTGATATTTTGCCTATAATTCGGCTGGTAGGACCAACAGTGGACGTCGACTCGTAGGACCAATTGTCGACTGGCAGGTCCACCAAAGTGCATGGAGCATCCCCATAGAGCCAGCGATTCCTATGCACATAACACAGCAAACCTCTTCCCATTCCCACCACGTAAGCCCCTTTGCTCCTTTTTGCCAACGGAGTCGTCATGCATTGCCATTTTTGGTATTTTCAGCCAATTAGCGGCGCAAAGGCTTCAAATGTTAAGTAAAAGCGAAACGGTCCAGCGAAACGTGGCCAAGAGCTTCTCGGCCAACACAGCCCATCGGATCGGAGCCAACTGGCCGAGCAACTTGCATTTTTAATGGTGCTGCCACAGGCGGCGGCCAAGGAGATTCCAAGGGGATTTCGGGGGGTTACGACGGGGGGCGATGGGGGGCGATGGCCAGCAGATGCTTAGCTGAATTTCGGTCGCTGGAGATGGTACAAAACTCGTGACACGATCTCAATATTTTCAGCTCTCGAGCGTTATATTAGTTTTAATTGTATAAACCCGGAGTCTGTGGGTGATATCTGAATATCAGGCTTGGTGCTAAGCTTTGCATATAATAATTCATGGCTTGATATTAAACCAAACAATAAAATGGACTTTTATGAGATATATTAGTAATGCAAACATGAATGGAATGTTCTGTTTGCGGACACTTACTCACGCACGCGGTTATATCACATTTTTCCTGAATTCAGTTAAGATTAAGATAAAGATAAACATAGAGGTAAAATATACGTAAGAAGCAATGATAAGATACGCCAACTTGAAAAGGGATATATTTTTTGTGCAAACATAAATAAACGTATAGATCACGTGCCCATCGCTGAGCTCGTTAGCGAAGTGCAATCAAATGAAATTTATGCGGCGGCCTTAGAGATCCTCCATTTACACAGATACATACATACACTCGTACAGTGCATAT